AACTTGTATTTATAACATACCGGAAATATTGTTACGTGCACCAAATGATTGTGAGCCGTTAGATTAATTAGTCTACTATAATCCAATGGTTGATGATGCACAAACTTAATGTATAATTTTGGTGCAAATAGCATATTACTCATAGGATATTCTCTTTCACCTAACCACCCCCCAACCAACTACTACTTTCCGGTGAAAGTTGCATGTTACACGCGGGTCATATATAAAATTATTTAAAGTTGTTACTGCAAAGCATAATATACATAAAGTTATTTTGTCAGTATGTCGGAAAATTTAGACAGTGGCGAAATTAGGTGAATGTTCACTTTATTTGCAATGGTGGGCTCTTACAACGGCTTATTTATATTTATAACCGTCTGCTTGCAATTTAACTCGACCCCTTGTTCCTTTTGCTCTTATCTGTTTTTTTTTTTTTTGGAGTAATGGGAAATCTCCGATTTGTCATCGGCGATTAAAGGCGTGCTTATATTATTCAGGGTCGTAAGTTCGAGTAGAACTAAGAGCAAACTTCGGGTGCACGAACCGGTCTTTCAACTCATACATTAGTTAAATTATAACTTATTTTTCGATAGAGATTCGAACCCACAGCAGATACTTAGATACGATTCATCCAAACAATTGAGGTGCGTCTTACCAACTAACCACAATTTATTGTCTTCAAAAGAACTTAAACACTTGGCCTAAGAAAGGCAAAAACCTTCACAAAATAAGAAATATTATTTGACCAAAAGGCCATTGATTTAGTCTATCAATTAAACCTATGATCCAAATTTCAATTCGAATATAAATCTAGTTAGTCAGACATGAATTGAAATTTTTATGTATCTGAATCCATTACGTTTGTGTTATTGAATTGAATTTGAATATATTTATATTCGATCTAATTATAATCAACTCGCAACTAGATGTATATAAGAACAATTAATGATTTGGATCGAGAAATTTATTTGAAGTACAATTAAATTTAGCTTAATTGAACTATTTATATCATAGTGGATTTCGGATCAATTTTTTTTTTTAATGGATTCAAATGTGGGCTGTGAACAAAAAATCTATCCAATAATGGGATCAAATTTGGGGTTGAATTTTTTAAATTAGATTTGGATTGATTCAAATAAGTTGGAATCCGATGTGTTGACAAGCCTACCACGATCGGATTATATTTTATTTTTGTTATGTTGGTAAAAAGAGGTTGGGTTCTTTTGAAATAAGGTCAAATTAAGGTACTGATGATTTATTGACTTATTTTTTAGTGCCATAATGAAAACTACTATCAAATAAGCTTAGATCTTAATATTTTATGATTAATTCTAAATTTTTGAGTCATAATTTTATACCATCGGGTCGTAATTGATGTTCTTGAGTCGTAAATAAATTGTAGTTAACATTTACTTAATTGTAAATTTTAGTACACTACAAAATTTAGTACCATAATTTTTATTTTTATTTTTAATTTAACAGTTAAGGTGTGTCTGGCTCATCCACGTCCTTCTTGATCTGGTTAAAGGTAACTATGCACGTTGGGGCTAGAATATTCATGAAAGATAAATCTAACATGATCTGATTCCAAAAAGTCATCAACATTCAAATTCAAGTCATTTGAGAATAGCTCATCCATGATAACATAATTTTAACTTTTCAAGAATAACAAGTAAATGCGCAAAAGTAAAGAATATTCGTGTATTAAACACCATTTTCAAAAGAGTAGGGTGAGATTCACAAATATTCAAAAGATTTGGTGGCAAATCAAAGGCCAAAAGTGCGGGCCCGTATGATTGAAGAAAGAACAGTGAAGTGGTGGGCCTACCCATCCCAACCAGGGGTATGCTGGGATTCGCGAAGAGCAGCACCTTACGATGTTCATGACCAATCGGATCCTGACGTACCAGTAGGTACCAGAGGGGATCGCTATGATCGTTACTGTATTCGTATCGAAGAGATGCGACAAAGTGTTCGGATCATTGTGCAATGTCCTAATCAAATGCCTAGTGGCATGATCAAAGCCGATGATCGTAAGCTATGTCCTCCATCACGATGTCGAATGAAACTATCCATGGAATCGTGCGCCGTGTGAAACGTAGATCATCGCCGTTCTTAACCGAGACTCAGGTTAAGCTCCGTCTCGGAACCTTGTGGGGTTAGGAGTAAAGCATCCCGAGGTTGGCGCATCTCGTTGAGCGTGGAGAAGCATTGGGAACCCCAATTTCTTTCTTCGGAGCCGTTTCTTTTCCCGTCCCCCCGCCCCGGCATAGCGCTTCGCTTCCGGTTCTTCGGAAGAATCAACTGACTTCCCCCTTCTTCATTGATCTGGGGGAAAAGGAACCGTCTACCAGTTGGGAAGCTAAACATCAAGTAAGTGGCTTGATGAGGATAACTAAGCTGACACGCCGGGGTTGGCTGCTGGCACAACAGGGTGGTGCCTTACCGCACCGCAGGCGGACGCGCGGTAGCGTTCGTGGTGGTGCTTCAGGATTCCAATGTACTGCGTCCAAGATCAGAACGAGCTTGCCGGCGGACCACTGCCGTCCCATTCTTGAGTGAGCTGGAGCGCAGCCATCTTATCCACTGAACTAGCTAGAAGCTATCGCTTCGGGTCGAAGCACTAAAAGAAAAGGACCGGGAAACGCGGCGGCATAGGAACCACGGGACCCCCTACTAGTAAAGGGAAAAGGGAAGTGCGCTCCTGCGCACCAGCTGAAAAAGCCCTTTCCCTTTTTAATAATAAGAAGGTAAGCTTCATAGCTCCAACCTAGTAAAGGGGCTTTGATGCCCTTTGTATAGGTTGGGTTGCTGGATACGGGATCCTCGTAGTAGGCTGGACCAACATCCAGCCGAGAGAGGGCAGTCTTTAGAAGCAACAGGTTGGGAAACCAAGAGAACGCTTCGCCTTTTCTTATCTTCTTCCCGCCCTAGGAGTAGGAGTAGCACAAAAAGAGGGATTAGCATTATTGACCCAATGAGAAACCACTAAGACCTTCCTCGTTGGGGCTCCGCGCACTGGGAAAACGCTCTAGCGACGGGAAACCGGCCACTAGTTACAAAGTTCCAATAAGGTATCGAGAGGGCTATCACAGTCAGGTGCAAAGCAATTGCCCCTATTTGTAAAGTACCCCTCTTCCTATTTAGGGAGTTAAGGCGAAAAATGGCTTGATGAGCGCAGATGAGGAAGCGGGAGCAAGAAAACCAATAATCTCTTTTCTTGTCCTTCTACCTACCTACCTACCTACCTACCTACCTACCTACCTACCTACCTACCTACCTACCTACCTACCTACCTACCTACCTACCTACCTACCTACCTACCTACCTACCTACCTACCTACCTACCTACTTAAGGGGCAAAGAGAAGCGCTTTTGCTATTGAGAAAGCGAACGGTCAGCGCGAAGGTTCAAGACTTAGCCGAGCGTTAGCGAAGCTAGATTCTCATAGCGAGGCGCTTCGAGTTAGCGAAGCGCTGTAGTAGGGCCGAAGCCCTATTATAATATAATGCTGAGCCAAGGACGCTCCGCCTTATCTATAGAAGCAGTCAACTGAGTTCTGAACGAATTAGCTCCTTGGTAATGGCTCAATCTATAGATAGAAAGCCCTATGATGGGAAACTACCACGTTAGGTTTGGAGAGAGATGGGACCGGTTATATAATAGAGGGAGCAGATGCAAGCTTTTTCTTTCAATAGCCGGCTAAATGACTACAGGATCATCGGTCTACTCTACCTCAATTCACCATTTCGAACCTTATACAGAAGGGTTTTCCGTACCAGCTCCTTCTACCTATACCGCAGTTGAAGCACCTAAAGGAGAATTTGGTGTCTTTCTGGTCAGTAATGGAAGCAATCGTCCCTACCGTCGTAAAATAAGAGCACCTGGCTCTGCCCATTCACAAGGACTCGATTCTATGTCCAAACATCACATGCCAGCGGATGTGGTCACCATCATAGGTACTCAAGATATTGTGTCTGGAGAGGTGGATAGATAGGACTACTAGTTGCTCGATCAGGACCCTAGCTTTATTGCGAGCCAAAAACCTTGATAGATTCCCCTCAAGAGAGTTTCACAAAAATGGGAACCGAGTGTAGGTTAACTCTTTTAGGTTTTGAGCGAGGATCCCACTTTTTAATAAGGAGCGGTAAGAAGAGTAGCTTTCCGTCTTGCCATTATTTATGTATACCTACAGGGGACGGAGCTACCCTTCAACATTGACCAGGTTATCAGCCTAGGGAAAGCGCAATGTTGCCCAGAAGCTCATAGCAAAATTCTGTTATTCAGATCCGTTGAGCAGAGGTGGAGGATGCCCTTTTCGGACAGTGGCATCGTGCGGTACTCAAGAAAGGAAAGCGCAGTCGATAGTGCCTTTCATAGAACGGTGCCTATGGGAAGGGCGAGAGGATGCTGATCACTAACAGAATCGGCTACTACGGTATCGGTTGGCTGAAACCGTTCGGATTGCTTCGCGAATCCTCTTCATCCGGCTTCCCACAGAGGAAGGCGCCCTTCCGTGTCGTCCACTAGCTCCAGTGAACCCGACCCAGCTCAGCTCACTTAAGGCGGTAACCTTGTGATCGATAACGACCACGGCCGGTCCCGCATTTCCGTTTGGATGGAAGGGAAGTACCTATGTAACGGTGGCCGGGAGTGCCTATCCGCCGAAGTAGTTGTAACGGGCTTAAGCTAGCTAAGCACTTGATGGAACGGTTACACTTGCCTCTTATATACCATGTCATCACCTGTTTCATCTTGCCCTCGCTGGGAGATTACATCTTTCTTTCTACTTAGATGGAGCCTCTGAACCCAGATCGAAGATACTTTTTAGGATCGACTTAGGGCAGGAGGACGTAACCCAGCATTCCATAGCGCATAGAGGAGAGGGGGAAAGATATGACTATGCGTAGGAAACTTAAGAATAGGGAGGTCTTAGATGAAGTGAAATGAGGTGAAATGCCAATAAAGTTATTCTCAACATTCACTTTAAAAAAAGAAATCCATAGTTCAACCAGCGGAAAGTCGGCGAGATAACGGGTTGTCCAACGCCTGTATCCATATGCCATGTATATCGCACTAGAAGTAACCTATTAGAGTTAGTATCTAGAAGAAGAGCTAGCCATAACGGAAGGAGACGCATTCAAAAACTAGAGAAAGGCTAGGGGCAGGGACTAAGACTAAAGCAAGGGACCTTTACCAGTTCCACATTCCGGATTAGTGATAGAGGTTGGACAGAGAGCTGACAGCCGATGCCCTATAGCGATAGCGATAAAGACAGAAGTACTTTGAAGCAAGGGATTTGACAGATTCTCGATTCCAGGGCAGGTAGCTTCTTTAAAGCTATAGCCTTTCCGGAAGACTTTATTGAATTCAAATCTATTCTATTCTATTCTATTCTATTCTATATATTGGAATTAAGGGAATTGGTATTCGTTCGTGTACTGATTGATTGAGCTCAAAGGCGGGAAAGGAAGTGGAAAGAACTCCACCGAATTTCTTGCTTTACTGATTGCGTCTATTAAAGTCATTCCATCTGTAGGCTTAAAAGAAAGCATTTCTATATCATGTTTAGTGCATGATAAAGACAATTTGCTAGCTTTCAAAAGTCTTTTGACTACATATAAATGCCCGTAGAAAGACTAATTCCAGCTCGACCGGGAAGAGCGATTGAAGAAATGACAGCTGGTTTACCAATGCCCCTATCTGCATCCGCCGACCTATCACTTTGCTTTATGGCATATGTTCCTTAGCTTGCTTGCATCTTCACTGATTGCGCCTTCTCTAATGCCCCAACCTTCTAAAAGATAAGGCCACTCCTCCTTTCTTTCCTTTCTCAAGGATTCCTCGCTGAATCCTTACCTCAGGCTCCTTTCAATTAAGTAAGGGAGTAGCGTATCATATAGGGGACATCTTTAGTCTATCCCCAAATAGACTAGCCAATTGTTAGAGCAAGCATTCGGTAGGCGCTTTATGCTATCATAGGCGGGTGCAATCAGTCAATACGTTAAACGATTTCTTTTGGAATATATCCCCCTTGATGCGCGAGGGCTCTCGGAAAGAAGGGGCAAAGCAAAAGCAAGAGGAGGTCGTAGATACTATACCTGGAAGAAGTCTCTCTCGTAGGGCATTTATCTGTAGTAACAAGCCTGTGAAAGCAATATCTTCTAGGCTTATAAAGAGCTTTCAACCCGCCTAGGTGGAACTGGTAGGTAGCTGGCAGCAATTTCTCCCTTCTTCGCTACGGCCCCCTATAGGATAATTGTTGGAGGGTTCCCGGCCCTCGGTAGACCAGTGAGCTTTCCTGGTTTTCCGTCTGCTTCTAACCTACAGGTGTTCTAACTTGAGTTTGGTATATTTAGTGTTCGTCTAGTTCGAAGCATTCCTGGTGAGCTTGAGATGTCGATATTGGTTGGGCATTATAGCGATCAGAGTGGGGAGAATAGGCCGAATATTAGGTACGCGGAAGGGGACCTTGCTAGTGAAAAGAAGGGCAAGCAAGGAAGTGCGAGCTAACTAATGGCAAGGGCCGGAGATAGAGAGTGATTCAGGGAATTGCATTCATTAAGGAAGCAAACAAGCATCGATCTATTGTTGGATGGGATTCGCCCTATCCACCAAGCGTTAACTGCTACACGAGAGTACAGCTAACCTAAGCGGGAAGAGCATATTGATTAACAGACGGAAATCAAACTATTCCATTTGAAAAAGAAGGGATATGCACAGGAATAATTCTACAATATTGTTGAACTGTCAATGATTTTACTTTTCAACTTTTATACGTATAGAACTTGTGACTTGCTACCTCAACCATCATTAGTTTTTTTTTTGGGTGGTGGTGGTTTTTTTTTTAGGGGGGGAGGGGAGATGATGGTTGGGTTGTTGGCAGATTTTTAATTCATTAGTTTCCATTTGGAGCATGATTTAAAAAAACATCATGTCTAGGTTCTGAGATGACTAGGTTAACATTTAAAAACCATCAAACCACAATTTGATGTATATGATCTGGAAGCTCTGCACCAGGTTGAGGGTTGGTTGTGTGTCAACTTCCTAGACATGTCTTGGCAGTCATCACATGTTAGTATTCATCAGATCCACACTGCTCTCTGTCGACCTTACTTGCGGTTTACTTCTGTGCTTGCCCATTGAGCATGCCATCTCTTGGTTAAACAGAAAGTAAACTTCAGTAGTTATATCTTGATATCTGGCTACGAAAATTGATTGTTCTGGTTACATTTTTTCCCTTCTGAAAATCTGTAGTAGGTTTATCTGTCTTAGGGTAAAAATTAGGCCTTCCTCTTGTGCAGCATTTATCTGAACCGACGGAGAGACTTACAAACAATTTGCCTATGGATGCTGTGCATTCCTCAGGCAACCTTGATGAGCAGGTACGGTCTTTTATGAACAAGTGATAATCATCGCATGGTTTTGTTGTACTTTACTTCTAGGTGATCTGATACTCTTTTTGTCACTTGTCAACAATTCAATGTAGACTATGTAGTACCTTGTTTGTTGGATGGGATTTCTCTGGATGGTTGTAAATTCTGACTTTCAAGTTATGGTATCTGCAGGAAGCATTTGATGAATTTGCAGATGCTTCGGAAACAGAGTTGGATATTCCTGCTAATTTGATTAGTAGGTTCGGTTTCTTAGCCTAGCTACATCGCACCATCTCTATTGACTTGTCTCAGCCTTTGATGCTTTGAACAGGTCCCCACTATCGACGACCTCGAAATAAGGGCAACCGGTGTGTTTGTGTCGTCGTTACTTTAGTTTATATGGCCTTTCATTGTCTCTGGTTGCTGTGATCACCTCACTTTTTCGAGAGGCACAATGCAAATTCAATCAACACTACAATGTGTGGGATTGGTAAATATTATCGATATGGCTGAGTGCTAGTGTCGTGTTTGTGTGTAGTTGAGAGATTGTTCTAGTGTCTAAAGCAGTCATAATATGTAACTATTTGCTATGGCTCATTCTAATTGGATTTTATTGAAATCTTTCTAAAGTTTTATTTTTGATTGTGTAAAGTTGTGCAGCAAGTGTGATTTATAGTAGTATTTTGATTACAATAGCATTCCTCTTCAAAAAAGATAAGAAAATTACAATAGTATAAGACCGGTTAAACTAGTTGATTCTGAAGACACTAATAATCTATTTTGGAGACTGGTACTTTTTAATATATTTTTCAGCAAATTAATTGGAGTTGGATAATTGGTGTTAATTTGTCTAAACTACCCCTATATCTTAG